GGGACACCCCAGAGCCCAGCCCAGGTGACTGAGTCCCCTGAGGGGGTACAAGGGCAGCCGTCGCCCCGCACAGGAGTTAGGGCCAGGGCTGCTCTGCCCAGGGACCGTCACTGTCCCCAGATCCCTCCTCAGCGAGTGTGCTGTGACCCCTAAGCCTGCCCCACAGGGTGGGTGGGCGCAGGCAGGGTCCTGTCACCTTGCACATCACTGCCTGGCTCCAACACCGGCCCGTCCGCGCCTGCGGGGCTGGCAGAGCGGCATCGGGCCTGTGCGTTAAGGGCTTAATCGTTGGTCCCAGTTGCTTCAGAGTCTCGGCCTATGTGTTACAAGACGCTGGTGAAAGCTCCGCTGACTGGAGACCCGTGGGGACCCTGAACCATTCATGCTTTGGGTTCCAAATGCCGCTTTACAGTGTACTGACTTTGTAAATAAAAAAAACCCAAACCTGCCCGGACTCCCACCATGCAGCACCTCTGTCCCCCAAAAGCTGCACAGCTGCCAAGGGCCCCACGCCTGCCACGCTCCGCTCTCACCTGCCGCAGCGTCTAAAATCACCTTTCTCCTCTGGATTATCAGTAACAAAAGCTGCAATCGCACAAAATTGGAAGGCGGGTTTGAGAACCTTTAACACAAATGACTCAACAGCTTAAGAAGTTCAGCGGTTTAAACCACCGTTTCAGGCACCTCGGGCTCATTTGCTCCACAGACACTACCAGGTTTAGATTTAAGTGACAGTGTCATTCATAAGTGACACTAGCACAGGGTGACACTCCCAAGCAGGTAATGACCAGGAGTTTAGACCCAGCCTTTACGTTCCAGAGAAAAATTAAGTCTATTTGCCTTTTAAAGGGATTCAGCATCAAAATGGAGAACAAAAGCACCTGGGTACCAGAGGAAGGCGCAGCCATCCTGAGGCCAAGCCTTACAGACAACGTGTTTTCAGCATCCTTGTTGGAAGCAGGGGATGACAGTAGCTGTCAGACGCAGGACAGATGCCTGGGCACAGGCGGGGAGCGAGTCTATTTGTCAGCACTCTTCCAACATTAGCAAAGCACTGACAGTTTACACACCCGCTGCGAATACACCCCGAAAGCTCACGTGCTGCTGAGCTAATCTACTGGAAATGCGGCACAGCCAAACCTCCAGACGTGCAGCCGGCAGGTTCGCTCTGCGGTAGCCAACACCTTTCTGAACCAACATGTCCAGCCCCTTACACACTCGGATGCTTCTCACAAGTCAGAGACACCGGGGACTGCCCTGCTCCAGTGCTGGGACCCCTGCTCCATGGGTGGGACAGGTCCCCAGCCACCTCTCAGCACAAGACAGCAGCCACAGGCATGGAAAGGGCTGGGAAGGACTCTTCTCTAGCACAAGGCGGTCCCAGTAATCACGTTTCTCAACCCCAGTTTCTCCACATCCACTCCACGGCAAAAACTGGCTGGCCTATCCAGATGTTTACATCAGATGACCTGCACTCCCTGCACACAGCCCGCCCTGCCTGGAGGAGCGCCAGCGCCAAGAGAAAGCACAGCCTCCCTGCCGCAGCACTCCACGGGAGCTGATCCCCTGCTCTACCACGTACAGGGATTTGGGCCAAGGCGCATTTGGAAGCCAAATCTCAGGTTCTCTCCTCAAAGTTTTGTGGAAAGAAAGCCCAGACTGAAAAGACACCTGCGTCACTTGAGGAGACGCTTGTCTGGCGGTGCCCAAACAAGCACCTCATCAGCAGCTGCACCATGGCAGGGGCACCAGATGGGACGTGGTGTGTCCATCCTGCCCCCCCCTAAGGGAGCAGTCCTGGGGAAGAGCTGAGCCCAGAGGCGATGGCCGTACTGGTGCGGAAGCAAGCAGGGAACAGCAGGAGTGATATGTAAGGAGAGGAGTGTGGCACAGAGGTGAGGGATGTGCTGGGCACAAGCAGAGTGCAAGAGGCTCCCACTCACCCCCCTTCCTCTTGAAGAAGGCCTCGGGGGGCCGGGGCATGTCATGGATCACCTCGTAGAGCGGCTCGAAGTACCCAAACATCTCCTCCGTCGTCTCGTCCATGGGCACCCCCCCCCCCCTCTCCCCCTCCCCGTTACCTTTTGGGCCACCTTCTTCATCTCAGCCACATAAGCCGCCATCGCCTCCTCCTTGGACATCCTCCCCAGGCTGTGCCAGGCATCCCTGCGGGTGACAGCAGCTGTGAAGCGGGGAGGAGGGGGGTAATTCGGACCAGAAGTGGGCCGGCCCCCCCCCCCCCCCCCCGGGGGCCTCA